ATTCATGAATGCCTTATCTCTAGGTCTGATGGTAATGGTTTTTGTTGGGATATGTTTATTGATGCAGCTATTCAGAGTTGAGACAAAGTTGGAATATATTTCATTTATGTTATCAGAATTAAACATAATGTTGTTCCAATCAACTTTTGATAATTCCTCGTTTAATGCATTAAAATTTGCATTTTCATAGTTTCTTACCACCCTTCTATAAGCATACTGTTTGTAGACAGAGAATCTGAGTTCAACACTAACAACACAATGAGAACTGCAGAATGGTGCTGTTATGTCATGATTTTCAACCAGGCTGGTATTGTTAGTTATAATTAAATCAATACATGTCCCAGTACTCATAGTATAGTTAGTAGCATCATTTATAAGATTTATTAAGTTGAGTCGTTGTAACAAAAATTTAAATTGTCTACTTTGGTATATATATATATATATATATATATATATATATATATATATATATATATATATATATATATATATATATATATATATATATATATATATATATATATATATATATTATAATCATTATAAATTGAATCGGCTGCAGAGTTTTCCTCATGTCAATTACAAAAATATAAATTTTTATTAACTTTCAGCAAGTCCCAAAGCACCACATATTATAATCTATTTCCCATCAATACATGTAGCTGCCAGAAAGTAATCCATTTTGAATGCACGAGGATAATTGTAAACACTGTCGAATTAACCCAGTAGTCTTCACAAAATGAAGTTTCAAAGTGTTGATTATGGAACAACAAAATTGCACTTGAAGATGACACCAGGTACTCTGATATATGGAACGCTGATACGTGTATTCTGAGTTCGATCTGGACTAACCTGTAGGAAAGAAATCCAGATTGTAGTAAAAGTACACTATCACTGATATTTTACATTACTTAGAAAAACAAAATTGTTCAAGTTTTAGTGAAATCATACTGATATAAGTATAGATGTTTTTAATGACATGCATTTACTAATATTTCCTCTCCTGCAAGTCTATGAACGAATTCAAGATATCCGAAGTCCACTTTATTTACGTTGCTCATCGTGGTTATTTAATGCAAAGAAAAAGAAAACAAACCTTTAATGTATTGCAGAAGTAAGATGCCCTTTAAGGTATTTCACTATTTCGTCATGGTTATCCCTTGAATTGGGTTGTCATAACTCTCATTGATACATCACCTTAGCTTGTGTTTTCTTTGTTTAGATAGCCGCTCAAATTAACGTTCAAATATATGTGTGTCATTTCCGGGAAGATAACTCTGCACTTTACAGTAAAAAGTGTTTAATTTCTAAACGCGTTTAGATATAAAACATGTTAAGACATAAGTGTTTAGTTGTTAAACACAATACTATACACGTTTAGATCTAAACATGTAATAGAAGTGTTTATTTCCAAAACACAATTTTTACAGTGTATATTTAACTGCACATAATGATTTTAATGGCCAATCGTCTTATTAATAAGATGTAGCGGTAATGATGGTAATGGTAATCGTTTTATTGAAAAGATGTAGAGGTATAATGAGTATACTCGAAATTTAGATGAAAAGTAGCAGTAATGAGTTGGAATTTTTTGCAAATATAGCGATAATGTTGAACCCCCATATTATTAATTTCTACAAACTAACGAATTAAACATTCCTTTTAAGGATGTTGTAGATTACCGCTAAAGCAAGAATTGACTATGTACTCCTACATGTAGGTTGGTTATCCTCTCCGTAAACATTGAAACATTAAGGCCTATTACTCAAAACATTAAAATGGTAATGTTGTATATTTCTGGATGCTGCATGTGGGTTATATTTTGCGGATGACCGAGAGATCTGGCCCCAGGATCATGAAACAGACTTAGACTTAAGTCAAATTTTCCATCAGCTGTAAATTGTTTACTAACAATTGAATTAATCTCTAAATTTGCAGGTAGCAACACTTCTGTGAAGCAATATTGAAAAATATTTTAATTTTGATCTGCTTAACGCCTACAACATTTTATACGAACTGAAAGACTTTGACTCAAGCCTAAGATGTTTCATGATCCCGGGGCCAGGTAGTTTAGAAAATCCATTATAAATAATGAAAATTCTGGTCCTTTGTTGCTAAAATTTATATGGATGATGACAAGAAGGATATACACTAATCAATCAATGTTCTTGTGTACCTTCACCTTGAATAATTATAACATCAACATTCCATATGAACTAAACAAATATATTTATTATTTTCTGCATTTGATGACGTCCAATACAGATAGATGGTCTTTACAAAACCATTCAATTCATGTCACAATATCATTTAAACTCTTGAAAGTTATCTCGTCACCTTGCGAACCAGAATAGAAAGCAAAAGTTCACATAAACAAGCACCATGAAGTCCTAGACTGACGAATCTGTCATATATGTTGCATCCTTCGATGTATATATCAAGTACGTTATAAAGCTGCATGTAACCCATAATTTGGGATGAATGTCCAAGAACACGTTTTTAGCTCACCTGAGCTGAGAGCTCAAATGAGTTCTTCTGATTACATTTTGCGTTTGTCTATTTATCCGTCTAGCTCTGCGCTTTTCGACTTCTCCAAAACCTCAGAGCCATGTTCAACTAAACATGGAACAAACAATCTTTGGGTGAAAGGAATTTGATTATTTTTTTTTCAAACGAAGAGTCATTCCCTCTTATAAGGGAAGAAAATTAAAAAAAAAAAAAAGTGAAATCTGGCGTAAACACTAAAAAAAAAACCTTCTCAAGAATCGCTTGGCACGAAAAATGATGAAACTTTAATGAAAGCTTTCTGACACGTTTTGCAAATCATTAGCTCCAGGGTAGAATGGGACCACAAAAAAGATTAAAAAATTACATGTAAATACATGTATTGAAGAAAAAAATCTTTTGAAATCTTCTACATAACAACAGCAGGGTCATAATAAGTCATATTAGCAAGCATTTGCAGGTAATCATGGCACCCCAAGGGCAGGGTGGGTCCAAAATAGGAGATCAAAGTTTTATTTGGTAGTATATACCGGTAGGAAAAAAATCTTTAAAAATCTTTTCAAAAACAGTTGGACCCATATTAATATGCCGTCGTTCCGAGATAGTGCAGTTCAAATCATGGTCGCTGGAGCTAGGGTTGAACCATATTGGGTGATCAAGGTTTTATTTCGAAATATATACATGAAGGAGGAAAATAACAAAAAAAAAAATAAAACTGTTCCAACCAAGAAAAACAGTCCCATGACTAATCAAATTAATATGTAAGCGTCTTCAATTAATGCAGATTTAAATTTGGTGAAATCAATCACTTTGCTCCTCAGGCTGGGGTGGGGGCACAGTAGCTAGAGGATCAAAGTTTTACTTTGAATATATACATAGGGGGAAAATTAAAAGTAATTATATGCAAGCGTCCCCCAGTAGTACAGTTTTAAGGATTTTCAAACTGGGACTGGAAAGGGATAGGGAGAGGCAGCAAAAGGGGATCAAAGTTTTACATAGGATAATAAAGTAAAAAAAAAATAAGATCTTCTAAAGAACATATGGGTTGTAGTTGTTAAAATATTTATATGCAATTAGCCTGAGGTAGTACCGATTCAAGTCTGTTCAAATAATGACCCCGGGGGTAGGTGGAGCTACAAAAGGGGATCAAACTTTTGCATATAGGACTAAGGTAGGGCCATAATTAGGGACCAAAGTTCAAAAACTACATGCAAATATATAGCAAAAGAATCTTTAAAATATTTCTCGAAAATTTTCTAAAGAACAGCAGGGCTATGATCTTTGATATTAATAGAAGCCCCCGCAGATAAAGTTTGTTCAAATAATGGTCCCTGGCGATAGAGTGGCTTCACAATAGGGGATCAAAGCCTTGCATCGAAATATATAATTATATAATTTAGTTAATAAAAAAATATTTTCTAAAGTGGAAAGACCACATTTAATTGTACTGTGTATTAAGGGCAGATGATACAAACAAAAATTGGATGCCTGTATTAGTATATATTTTTGGACCTATTTTGGTAGTAAATGATGCAAATATCAAATTTCTAAAATGTTAAGAAATTTAAACTTTCTATGATATTTAAAATTCCACTTTTCTGCAATTATCCTTAAAAATCTATACAACTTTCTGTCACTTTATAGGATATTATTGTGAACTTTTTGTCACTTTACAGGATGGGGCTAAATTATGGAATTAAATATTTCCAAATGCATATATACAAGAAAAAAAAACTTTAATAAAAATCATTTTCTCAGAGGTACATGTTAGTTATATTGTTATTGATATATTGATACAAGATACATGTTTGTCATGATCCCAATGCGCTATAGTAAGGCTAAAAATTGGGTCGACTTTATATTCATATGAATAAAGAGAACATTGTTTAAACAAATATTTATCTTTAGAACAGGAGGATCAAGGCACAGACTGTAACTTAGGTGAGCCTTGTGGCACATGGACCTTTTGTTGTAGCAGCTCATTCCAATTTTTACTATAATTATGTAGAATGTCTTATCTAGAGCAGTACTGCATACATGTACAGGTTGCATACGTGGTCATTTAAAAAATGTCCCTACACTGATATAGACACTAGCCTCTGGTATCTTGCACAAATGCCTGGTAAACCGTACATTGAAGTGTTTTACAATAATCTGATCCCTTAAACGTCTCATAAATGTTTTGTGTTCATTGCATAATTTTCATAAATCTTCAGGTGTTTTAATTTGTATCTGCTTACCTGGTATGTATAACATAAGTATAGAGTTACAAATTAATTTAGACTCGGACGATACCCACTTCTAGAGGGTTCTTTGAAATCTGTTCAGCAGTATAATGATGAATAACAATGTAATCTTAAATTCACTCAGGCGAGGGTAGAGACAATTAAATATACAAATCTGCGTGATAAGACAAAATCAACTATAGCATAATTATAGCAAGATTATCCCAAGTGTAATCGAAGTAAAAGATTTCATATTTATTTTTGTGCAAAATGGAAAAATCAGAAGACGAACCAGGGTCTACTAAAACCGAAGCCAATGAATATTTTCTAGAAGAACCCGGAGTTACCGATGTTGCTCTTGTTGTAGAGGGAAGAAAGATGTATACCGTTAAATCGGTTCTTGCTTTAGCGTCTCCCGTCTTCAAATCCATGTTAACCTCAGATTTTAAAGAAAAAAATGCAGCTGAAATTGAATTACCCGGGAAGAAGTATGAAGCGTTCAAAAATTTTCTGATGTTTTTATCCCCAAATGAATACTTGGATTTAAAGGGTATGTATTAATTTATATTCATAAAACAAAGCGTCAAAGCAGAAGGCAACAATAGTCATACTTTACCTATTAAATACTGGTAAGAATGTCCACAATTTTGCAAAAATGCTTGTAGGAAATAGTATTTTCTACGGGACATTCGCATGAAGTGAAATCTGATTTTAACAAATCGGAATGTTAGCATGTGTCATACCAACTATTATTTGATTATTGATTTTACTTGATTATCTTCATAAACACTTTGTAAATTATGAAATTATGCAAAATTAAGCATCTTGGTATATAGATATAGAAACTCGTTATTGCCTGACGCCACGTGCGTCAGGCAGTATAAGGATTAATTTTTCAGGGATCTGAAACTAAGCGATCATTCTTAATGAACTAGATTTTGTGCAAGCTGATTTACATCGGAATTTGTTACCTGCATTTAAACAAATACAGCTTGCAGAAAAAAGAATCATATAACTGATGCAAAATAATGATATGTTTAATTCCTTCAGTTTTTGTTGCATGCATATGTTTATTCTTTGCGATTCTTTGTACGGACATGTCCATGTAACATTTTTTCTGCGTTTCTAACTACTGGATCAGTCCATTTGCCTTCTACGAAAGGGGTGACACAATCATTTCGCGCCAAATGTCACATGTAAATTTTCTTCGGTTATTCTTTTGAATGGGTGTGATAACTTTTATGGAAATAAATAAAGTTTATTCTTTTAACTTGATTCTTCAGCTCCAGATTTTTTATTAACAGTAAATTTTATCTCATTTTTTTTTTAAGAGAACACATTGTATATGGACAGGCAACACTAAAGCAATGGATTTGCTGATTATTCTTACTATTTATCCCATAAGTGGACTAGTCTAATCATTAATGAACTCCCTCCACCTAGTAAATGGGACATCCTTTCTTGATTTATTCTGTTTTCACCTAGCCTTTCTTTCAATATTACATTTATTAATAATGTACGTTACAAGGTTAGGTTTTTAAAAAAGCTTAGAAAGTCAGCGAGTAGCATATTATTTCATACTTTGTGATGAACAAGATTTTCCTTTTATACAGTGACAAGAGTGTAGTCAGTACCCGTAGAGGAATGGGCTTTACTCCCGTAAGGTTCTAAGTAAAGAATCGGCAAAGTGAAGAAGACATCATGATCTGAACTGGTTTTCATTTCATGAAAAGTACGTTATTATAATTTTGAGGAAGGTCCTGAAATCGATTGAAAAGAAAAACTAAACAATTTTAAACTCATTTAAAATACATGTACATGTATATGGTAAGACCACCATCGCGTAAGTTTTTTGTCCGGGGGGGGGGGGGGGGGGGTTAATAGTATCTTGTTTTGTGCTAGCTATAAAGTGTACAGGTCATTTACTTTCATTTCTAGAGCAGCATTGAAGCATTTTTGTCTTAAATACTTCAAGACAACTTTCCCATTTATAACTGTTCATAATTTACTTCGTCGTCGGGAACGACGGAAAACAGACCAGTCTATAAATAGAGGCCGTCTCATTAATCTATCACTGACCAGGGAGTGTGCATGAATTAAGAAGCGCGCCCTCTAGTAAGAGAGAACATGTGATATGAATTTCTTTAAAACGAATCATCTAAGTATTTTTCCTAGAATTATCAGTGGCGGATCCAGGAATTTCATAACGGGAGGGTGCAGTAGAAGGCAGGGGGTCTGGGGGAGGGGGCTGTATTGAAACCCCCAGTGGGTCCAGGGCAAAGCCCTGATGGGGGTTCGGGGGCAAAGCCCCCAGAAGCTGACGGATTCTTACAAATAAGAGGTGTTTTTTTTAGGATAATGAACATATAAGTTCTACATACAAAAAATTCAAACGGGGGGTTGGGGGGGGGGGCGCACGCCCGGCGCGCTGATGCTGGATCCGCCTTTGATTATAATCTACGCTATCGCACTTGCAGTTTCATCCCAACGTAACTATTCAGCCCGTGGGGTAACTAATAAATGCCCAAATAGTCGCATGTCTTAGATATTCGTTAATCTGTAGTATTTGGTTATGACATTTGAGAAAGTCAATTGTACATCTTGTGAAATGAAGTATCGCAACTATGTCGCTCCTTGATGACGGAAACGTTTAGCACCCCTCTTGCATATACGTTCCATAGATATTGATTGTTTAGTCAGGCAAGCTTTTTGAAAAGCTATTACTTGTCTTTACTTAAGCTCACATATTCACTTAGAAGTTCCACTACCGAAACGTATTCGGATGTGTACAAATCCAGAATATTTTTTGCCTCTCCACTAAAATTGATCATCTCGGGGTTTTTTTCGTCAGAGGTCGGAAAAACAACCTCGAATGTATTAACATGACCGTATGTTAAAAAATTATACATACATGTACAAGATGGAGTCGCTTCCTATTTATTAAGATATTAGAAAGACAGAGATAAAAGTCAATCCTGTTGTATATTTTAGGTAATATCTTCACATTCAATAAAGGTGAGCTCCAAATTCTACAGATAATAGGTCTTCCTACATTTATTTCAAAGTTCATGAAAATGGGGTGGGGTTGTCATGGATGCCTACGTAACACATTTAAGGTTAATTGTTTTTCCGCTTGTCTGAAAGGCCCGAGAAGTTCTGATTGCTCTCCACTAATTTAGGTTTTCTTTTTTATCGCCGGAGAGGCGCAGTGGTTAAAGCGTTTGCTCTATAGTCGCGGAGTAAAGAGTTGGATCTTTACCTCGCGGGTTCGAATCCCACTGCGCGACGTGGAGACCGGTCCTTCGGATGAGATCGTATAAACTGAGGTTCCGTGTCGCAAAATGTGCTGGCACGAAAAAGATCCCTCACTGCTCAAAGGCCGTAAGTGCCGAGTACAGGTCTAAATTTGCAACCCTCCACCGGCAAATGGTGGTGTTTACTCGCTGCGGCGTGTTGTGAATTGTCCTTCTTGTTCACGTTTTAATTTCTTTGAATGCATTTGTGTTTATTTCACTTTATTTCACTTTGTAATGCATTGATCTGTGCAATTGAGATCGAATATTTTTGGTAACTTTTTACCCTGACATGGCAGACCATAAAGAAGTCATTTTTGTTGAGCCCGATTATATCACAATGACAATGAAGGGGACGTCTGCTCAGGTGAAAACTCTGAAGCAAAATACATTGAACCTTGAACAAAGCTGAGGCTTATATAGGGGTTCAAAAAGTACTGTATAGAGAAGACAAATATGGCAAAAATAACTCTCTAAAACGTAATAAAAATCTTTATATAGTTTAGTTTCGTAATTTTCCGGAAATATTTATGTCTTGTGGTGAAATTTTAATTATCTAAATATATTCAGGTTTAATTTCTTCAAACCATAAACTCTAAAGTATCTTTGACTTGATTTGATTACTTGGGGGTCCAAAACTCTTTGCATACAGACATGTTTAAGAGGGGCGTCCTTTGTAGAACAGCAACGTAATCTTGAACGTTTAACTAATTTGCGTGACGTGTATTGTATATTTCCAAATATAATCTGGTTTTTAATTTTAGGTGAAGATAACGAACAGTGGTTGATTTAAAAAAATTACAAGCAATGCAATAGGTCATTACGGGTATGGTTTACAAAGAAATCAGGGCATCTCTTATGCATTCATTATATTATAGATGCAAATATCCCAATTCTTACTCTTTTGAAACGGAATAAAAACATTCAAATTTGTAGACTCTGAGTGTTGCAACCACTGACCACTATTGAAATAATTTTTTAATAAAAGTTGAGAATGCATTTCAAAAACACCACCACGTCGTAACCACTGTTGAAATACAATGTAATTATTTCAATATAGTGGTCTTATTTCAAAAACAACATAACATAGTAACCACTATTGAAATGACTACTACTATAGAAAAGCTATTTCAGTAGTGGTTGAGAATTCATTTCAAAAACACCTCATTGCAACCACTATAAATAATTTACCGGTAAATAGTAACTACTATTAAAATAACTAATTAGATTCAAGAGTTGCTGAGAAGTGAGAAAGCTTTTAAAAAAATAACACTACATTGCATCTATATGGAACTAATAACATTTTTTGAAAGAATTGTTTCAATAGTAAATAAGAATACATTTCAAACGCAAACTACATTGTAACCACTACTAAAATAATATCCACTATTGAAGTAGTTATTTCAATAGTGAACGATATTTAATGGTGGTTGAAACGTGGATTTTGGTTTTGAAATGCATTCTTAGGCACTATTGGGAAAAAACTATATAATTACTTAAATAATTAACATTTTTTCAATAGTGGTTGTAGCCTGGTTTTGGTTTTGAAATGCATTCTCAACCATTTTTGAAATAATTATTTCAGTCGTGAACGTTATTTCAATGGGTGCGTATCATTACCGCTACATTTTCAAAATTGCCATTACCGCTACATATATTCATTACCGCTACAGAAAAGGTTACATTACCTCTACAAAAAAGGTTACATTACTGCTACATTTAAAATGTATACAATTCCGCTACATTGCCTCTTTCGATGCATGTACAGATTGATTTAAAGCACGGCCTATACATCTGTAAGACCTGTTTCCCCTGCTCACCACGGAGAGGTGAAGAGGTGAAAGTAAGTCTTTGAGCAAAATGTTTTTGGATTTTGTTTTTAATTTTTGATTAAAATCTATTTTATTAAATAAAACATTTTTATTTTAAAAAAGTGTTAAAACCGAGTATTGTTCATGGATAAAACACACAGTCTTTAAGTAATTGACAGAGCTTTGAAGGCCATTTGCTTGACGTACTGCTGTCTGGAAATCTCTAATATGAATTATAATGGGTAGAATTTATATTCTCTGCCATTGCTGACTGATTCGATATGTAGCGGTAATGAGTTGTAATCGGCAATAGTCTTTTTGATAAAATGTAGCGGTGTAGCGATGTAATGATCACCCGAATTTTCGAAGAAAAGTAGCGGTAATGAGTTGAAATTTTTCGTAATGTTGACCTCCCATTTCAATAGTTTTTGCAACCTGGATTTGTTTTTGAAATGCATTCTCAACAACTATTGAAATATTTATTTCAATAGTGAACGTTATTTCAATAGAGGTTGCAACCTACATGTAGTTTTGACATGTATTATCAACCACTATTAAAATAATTATTTCAATAGTGGTCGTTATTTCAATAGTGGTTGCAACACTCTGGTAGGTTCCAATTGTACCAACATTCCCTATGTAAGAATGTATGTAGGACACAATTGTTATTCCGGTGGCTGATTAACAAAAGACCAAAATCTTTGTTTTTTTTTTAATTTTATTCATTGCTTAAATCATATTGTAATTTTATTGAGATATAATTTTACAAAATTATTAAGTTGGCAAAATTTCAGAACTACGTATTTTTTTTTTTTTAGACTTAGTCGCAAGTTCTTTTGTAAAACGATTCCAGAATCGCACCTTTCACTGCCCAGTTAGTCTTGGGCCCATTCATGTCAGTTTTATGGTAATGCATTATGTTAAGAAATATTCCTGTCGTACTTTTTAAGGTGAAATTCACAGAACACTGTATTTTTATTTTATTTTAATACTTTTAGATGATGTTATTGTGGATATACTTCCGTTGGCAAAGGAATACCAAGTTATTTCTCTTCTCAACACCTGCGAAGCATGGTTACTTAAAGAGATTGACCTCAAAGAAGCAAAAAATAATACCATGTACTACGATTTAGAATTTTTACTCAAATTTTTTTATTACAGTGGTGAATGCAATCTACCAAATCTTCGTAAACGGACTCTCTCTTGTTTAGTGCAATTTACCCTGTCTTCATGCAAACAAATAGAAAAATATTATGGACGACTCTCGGACAAAGATAAATTAGAGCTTTTTGAGGCCAGAATCGAAAAACTTGACTCTTTACACTCCGGTGTAATGAGCTGTAGCTGCCATCCACAATACCTGCTTTTTTTGCAACAAATGCATGTAATCTATGATGATGACCTTTGAACGAATTTGATGATGAAATTTATTGAAATCTTAGATATTCGTTCGAACAATTTAATTTACGAATTTTTTTTCAGACAAATGTGATATTCGTTCAGAAGAATCAGTAATTCAATTTGAAAAAAAAAAAAACAGCTACATGTATTCGTTTCGACGTAGATATTCGTTCGGACAATGTAAACATTTGTTCGAACAAGCAATTTCAGAGAATTGTAGACCCCGCTTTCAGAGTCCTTGTTGTTGGGATGGAATAATTTATGACATATTGTTACTGTCTTGTCTGTGTGTTTTGTCCTGTCTGTCCATCATACAAGATCGGTTTAAAATTTGGAATAAATAAAAGATATGGTAAAGATAAAAAGTATCTTAAAACTGCATAAAACTTCAAGATCAAGGTTATGAGGTCAAATCAATAATAATAACATACAATCTGAAAGGTCTTCTCACAAGTAATGCAAATGTGAAAAAAAGAAAGCCCTGTCTTTTCTGAAGCAAAAGATGCAGCATAAGTTATAAAGTTTTTATAAGTAAGTCAAACTTCTAGGTCAAGGTTGTGAAGTTAAAATTGATAGTTTTTTTCTGAAAATTGTTGTCAAAGGTAATGCACGAGTTAAATATGAAAGCCCTATCTTCTCTCATTCAAAAGTAATTACTAATGTCAAAACTTTTAAAAATTACTGAAAGGTTAAATTTTAAAATTAAGGTGGGGAGGTCAAAAACCAAAGTAAATTCGGTAAGGTCTTGTCACAGGTAATGCACCTGTCAAAAATGAATACCCTATCTTTTCTTATTTAAAAGTTAACACCATGTTAATTTCCCCCCCCCCCCCCAAAAAAGAAAAAAATATGACCAAGGTCAAAGTTTATGTGACTTACAGACAGACAGATTGACAGACGACTGAGATTTAATGTTCCCTTGTTTTCGCAAAAGCATGCAGCAAAAAATTAGTTCGGATTTCATTCTTTGTCCAGATTATTTCGGGTTTTTTTTCCGGAAAATTTATTCGGAAATTGGACAGATAAGTTGTTTGTTCAGACAAAAGGAAGTAGGTGAAAATAACAAATAATGATCTATCTAGAAAAAAAAGTACAAATCTGTGAGCAGGGCATAAAACACAGACCTCTGGCAATTCCAGATAATGTGTTTTCTTTGGTAGATTTACATATTGTCTGAATCAAACATTCGCTTTCCAACTGATCATTAGATAAACTGGATATCCCGACAATGATTTTTTTTTTCAAATTTACTCAATACAAATAATGAACAACAGATCAATCAGAATTACAAATAACTTAGTACATGTATGTTGAAAAGTCCTAATCTGTAATCTCACTAATGATGAAGATTTGAAGCAATCAATAATTTTTACAAGCAAGGCAATACCTTTTTAATAAATTGTAGTCATTTTTTGGAATAATTATGACGGAATGAAATTAAAGCGACACCGTGACGCACAAACGGGAAAATTGACAAACATAGATGTTTTGCATGACACGTGCAAATTTTGTTCAATTCCTAAAAGTATTAGGTTTCAGAAAAATTACAGGTTTTGGAAGCTAAAAATTTTTCTTTTATGGAGAAAAAAATCTTGCATCCATTTATTTCAATATAACAATTTGGCCATTAAAACTTGAAAAGTTCATTAGTATTAAGTAATGGATTGATAATTTAAAAAATAATCAGTGGCAGAAAGTTACTTGCTCTTATTTACAACTCCTTCCATAAGGGAATACAACATTTTATAAATTGAAATCAGGCTAAAAACATCACCAGATTTTCAAATACATTGTACTCAATACATTGTACTCATGGAAATGGATAAATGACTCTTAAATCTCACCGTATGCTTACCTTATGTAAAATTCAACATATCAGATTGATAAAGTACATATTTTATTTGTTATCTCATTTGAAATTGGTAATAAAATGACTATTTTCCTGTTTTTAGTCTTTAAACACGTGCCCCCAACCCCGCCCCACCTCCGGTGAAGGATTTGTTGTTTCGCGGTGGAAGATGTTTTGAAAATAAATTTCCGATTTCCGTTAATTTTTATTGTGAAACATTTACCAAATTAAAGACTTAAATCTCTTTGTTTTCCCAAATGAGTTGTGTTTTATGAAAATTCACATAAATATCTATATAAATATGAAAATTTATTCAAATAATTGTGGCAGTTGGCATTAAGCAGTGAGCAGTTGGCAGTAAGCAGTGAGCAGTTGGCTGTCGTACATGGAATTCCATACAAAATAGACTCTTGAAAATGTTTCCAGAAACTTAACAGTAATATTTTTTTTTATTTCTAAAAACTTTTTAAAAATTATATTGAACTGTAAATATTCAGTTTGCCATTTTTCACCAAATTGCGTGGTTTGGCCAAACCTAAAGTTGCTTATCTAAATAGATATCACTTATCTGGTGAGAGAGGTGCCTATTTAAGGAAAGGTACTTAACTGTTATTTATGCTTATGTTTTTTAAGGTAACATTCGATTTTGAGTCATCGTTTCCGCTTCATAGTTTTACACCAAGGCCAAGTAATTTTTTATTTGGAGTCATCCTTTCATAGTGTAAGATCAAGGCCAGGTAACTCAGTTTGGAGTCATTATTTTTAGTGCAAAGTTTTACTTAAATTAAGTTGTCAAGACTTGATTTTACAGCATTGGGCTAAACTAGTTCTAGTCTGCGACAAAAGTATCCAGTTAATTGTGCTGTATTCATGTAAAAAAGATGGCATTCTCTGATAAGATGACAAGCGATCACTTTCCCGAAGAACCAGGCATAAGGGATATTGCTCTGGTTGTAGAGGGAAAAAAGATGTACACTGCTAAGTCAGTTCTTTCCCTTGCTTCCCCTGTTTTCACAACTATGTTTTCGTCAGATTTTAAAGAGAAAAATGCAACGGAAATCGAACTGCCTGAAAAGTCGTACAGAGACATCGAAATTTTTTTGATGTGCCTATCCCCAAATAAATGCTTGGATTTCAATGGTATGTATTCCAGGAGATTTTTATGTTTATATAAATGTCATGCAAAAAAGCAGAATCTGTTTGAAATTCAGATATTAATCATTCACTGGAAAATAATTGAAGAATTCCATTACAAGATGCTGTGTGTTAAACCGAAAGTAGAATGTTTAACAAACTAGTCTTCAAAATAAATTTTGTTTCCTATCGATGATAAAATGTAGTGCCTTTTTCATGTGAAAAAAAAGTTTTCTATAGGTTTAATTTTAAAAAGTTTATAACGGAGACAAAATAAGGCCGAGAGAATGTGTGCTTTTAAGGTGGCCGACTTAGATTTTCAGTCACAGATTTTGCGCAGTATGTTGTGAATTTTGAGAAATACACATACACACCGTTTTCACACACCTGTCAGCTTTTAAAACAAGTTTGGTCAGAACCTCTAACTTCAAAATAATTTATTACAATTAAATTTTTATAACATATATGAATTAGATTATAAAATAATAATAATTTACGTACAATTTGCAGAATTTTTTTCAATGATAAATTTTATTCAAACTATTTTATATAAAATAAAATTATATCTATTGACATGCATACATCTGGTAAAATGTGATAAAGGCTTAAAAAGTGATTAACCTAAACGTAACAATTTAAGTGCAAAAAAGTCGAATTAGTTGTACCTTTGCAAGATGCACACTGACCCCAAATTTTCTCTTCGATTTTGAGTCTTGCTATATGAGTAGTTATCTAAAATTTAATATTGAAAAAAAAATTCTGATATAACCCATGTCAGGAGTTACAATACTTTAAAAGAATAAAGAGCCAACAATCAAAAAAAAAAAAAAAAAAAAAAAAAAAAAAAAAAAAAAAGGACCCGCAGGGGTAAGTTTTTAAACATGTGCAACCTAAAAAATTGACCCCCATAGAAAAATAACCCCAAATTTCAACAGAGTGATACAAAGTTAAAAGAGATGATTGATGCCAAGAATTGGGTCGCAGCGTTCAACTCTTTTTCTTTTTTTTTTTGAACATTGTACGAACACACAGTTAAAATGTAATATAACAGCATAACATGTGTTTCTTTCTATTAGACCTATTGTGTTCTCAATATACAATAAAAATCGCACAGTAGATACGTCACAGTAATTTTTAGTAAAAAAAAAACGTTACAATTTGAATATTAGATTGATGCAAAACACCAAATCGGCCGCAGAAAATTAACCTTTCAAAGGAAAGCACAAAGTTATCGAAGCATAAAAAATAGTTATTTTTATTTCAAAACTATTTACAAAGCTTAATTTTTAAAAGCTTTAATTTGCAAAAGGACGTCGACAGATATCTGAAAAAGGGAAGTGCTGGGGAGGTCTTGGAGGTGTACCCCTTTCTTATAGCGATTTTTTCTTAGAAATTTTGATCTGATGCGTTCCTGATATCATTTCATCACGTATCAAAATAAACAAAAGGAGGAAGCATTAATTTAAATAGATAGATAACGACATATGACTTGTGTTTCAAACTAAAGGGGCGTGATTGCACTCCACGCACTAGCCCAACTCCCATTCCGACAGCCTTGGTAATCAAAATAAATCAATTCATCGAGATGAAAATCAGTTATAAACGATAAAAATGCAATTATTAAAATGAAGAAGAAAAATACACATAAACTCAATATTTACATATATAATCAGACAAAAGATAAATTCGCCATGTGCTAAAATATAAATATTGCATGTAGTTGAGTGTAACATTGAAAATTTTCACCCTAAGAAAACCATTGTCAACCGACGCGCAGCCGAGGTTGACAATGGTTTTCGAGTATTTTAGTTCATCTAGAACTGCTCGCAAAAATTTCATTCTCGCGTATAATTCTACGATGAAAGTTTACATATAGAAATAACTAAAATTCGTGAAAATTTTGCCTGGCTTATAGACTCTCCTGAGAAAATAAGTTGCCGCGAAAATTCAATGATCTATAGTATGCTGCATGGTGCGCCTCAATAAATGCAAAATACATGTAAATGTATAGAGAAAGAAACATG